TTCTTTTCCTGATATATTTACCTCGCTTGGAAACTTATCATTAATTATCCCTTCAATGAATCTCCGAAGTATAGGAACTGAATTTACTAAATGAAATAAATAAGTGACTATTAAAGTTTCTAATAATGATAAAAACAATCTTCATGGTGTCAATGAACTCCTCATATCCTACTATGCGTTGTTTAAAGTTCTTATTGAGACCGATTGTGAGCATGTAACCCTACTCTTAGTCAGTTGTGCTTATGCTTCAAAAATATAATTATGTTTTTGTGAAATTTTTCCTTAACAAATAACCTTAAGTGGATATTTTCTATTTGACTTATCTAGCCCTTTTCCTTTTTGATAAGCAATATACTCGTTTACTCATGTCACAATTACTGCCCTATAATAACAGCTATACTGCACATGCTCTCTACATAAATCCTAAAATAAAATATTGTAAAAATAGAATCTAAAAATTATCAGAAACATCAACTACCTCATAGTATTTAGACTCTTGACTGATATATAAATATAACATTAGTCTAAACTAAAAATATATATATTTACTATGTCTATAACTCAATCTTGAATTAATATTAATTATTTTTTAGCAGAGGAATTAAGATAATCTATTATAATTCTCTCGCTCACTCATAGCGTTTATCTCTACTTGTGTGCGCTTTCCGTTAGGCAATTCGTTTGTACGGCGCAATTCTCCTACTGTTCAATGACGCTTCCCCTCTTGTTTTTTACTTGAGTATTTTGTTCAGAGTAGTAACTTGTTTTATTAACTATTCTTTAGTATTTTGTTTTTTAGTTTTTTCAACTCATCTGGTGCCTTGCCAACTGAGTGATTTCTTATAGTATTTTATGGAAACCAAATCGGCTGAAAGCCCGGTGAAAAATGAACCTGTACAGAAAATAAGGATATCATATGACAGAGTATTAATTTTTTTATAATTTCCCATAGGAAACACTTTTTGATTTCAAAAGACGTTTGGCTCTGTGTCAGAAAGGTCAAAAACGGACAAAAACACCTTCCTTTTCTAAGTCTCAAGCAAATGGTCAGTCTTCCCATTTTTTATTGGTTCCTTAATATTATTTTTATCTGCTTCATTTATTATTTATCACTGCTTTCTCTTTCAATTTTTTAATCTAAATCCATATCCTAACCAGCCTTTCTTTATATATTTGCGCTGCAGATTAAATGCTATTGTAATTCTCTTTTTACTATTGTGTATAACATTTATACGTATTTATTTATTTCATTTTTATTCACGATTTTAGCAGAAAGAACTACTAGAAATCCTTCTGGAATTGTTCTAGGACCCCAGAAACGTACATGGAACACCGGTTGTCATGTAACTCAAACACCCAAATCTGCTTTGCCTCGCACGGGAGTTCTTGGGGCAGAATCTTCTGCCATTCCTTCGAATTCTTCCTTGAATTCCAATTCTCACAGTCAACCGTCAGCTACACAGGGTCATGCATTATCAAATGGTAGGAATGGCAGTTCCAAGTTTGCTGATTACCGACCGCTCGAAAGGCCTTTTGCCAGAAATTCGTGTGGCGAATCGAGAAAGGAATTTAGAAACTCTAATGAGACTAAGTCAGGTCATGCTCCTCTTTCCCTAACAAATAATACTGCTAGCATTAGTAGACCAAGAGATCGCCTTAGAAATCCTGAGGGCAGTTCATTTTTTTCTCGTTCTTATGGTAATCCAAAAGAGCCTTCTAGTAATCGGAATCCAAGTAAACACTATGGTGGTTTACATTCTCATCGCCATAACAGTAGCATTGAAGATGAACCCGAGTGGTTCTCCGAAGGTCCTTCTAATATCAATGAGACCATCGAACTAGTTGGAATGAATGAAGATGACATTGATTTAAAGATGGATCGCCTCAATCGCCGTAATCCCCTTGAATCTTTCGACCTTAGTGTTAAAGAGGTTGACAGTCGCACTGTGGAGTCACGTAAGCCGGAAGGATCTGACCAGAAGGCTGTCAGCTTCGAAAACGACTCATGTTCTAGCGCTAATGGTGTTACTTCAGCAATCATCGCCGATGATCCAGCAATTTTTTCAGCCAGTAGTCAAAATCAAAATACGGAAATGAATTTGACATCTATCAACGATCTGAGTGCATTGTTGTCGTTACCGATTCCAACATCTCCAGAAGAAACTGAATTTGACCCTGGAAGTATGCTGATGAATGGTGCCGGGGATTCGAGTAGGAAAACTGTGTCTTCATCTGGAGGTAGCAGACTTCGTCATCTTTTCTCCAATATTACTTGCGAAGAACCTTCTGACTCGTCAACTCATGCTCATCAGAATCACGTAGACTCTCATGAACGTAAGTCAGGTTAACTTGGTGTGTGTGAATTTTACTTTGATATAGATGATATCTGCAGTGACTTATTTATAATTCCTTCAACGTATTGCTCTTCAGGCGATGTTTACTCACTTATTTCGAGGGGGATTTCAACGCCTATTTCATCTAGTGATATAGGAGATTCGAATGTTGGGAATTGCTTGTCATCCAAGCCTCCAACGCATTATCCAGGTTTGCGAGCGCCCCTTAAATGCTTTTGTTTATTCATCCTCTTAACCATTACCTTCCAATATTCTAGCAGTTGCTCTCGAGCAGAAGTTGCGTTCTCTCTTGCTAGGTCGTGGTCCTACGCCTTCCTCTTCAGTTGATAAACTCATTTGTTCTCCTTCAAAAGGTGTGTTTTGAAGCAATTTTTCTTTATTTTATTGTTAAATTAGATTTCTATTAAATTATTGTCTGGGCCCATCTAGGGTCATCTCAGGCTGTCACGATCTCTTGTAATTTTATTATTGTCTTGGTTGCCTATTTATTTCATTTATGCTCCTTTGCAAATCAGGCTTGGTGACCTGTGATATCATTTTGATCCACCAGAGGCCAACATTGTACTTCCTAGGTGGAACCCAAAATTTAAATTTTTATTTAACATTGAATAATATTTGGGGTTCAGGGTGAGCATTTGAATTTTTGGGCTTCGATTGTCTGACTTTTTAGAGTTGCCACGAATTGATCTATTTTGATGATCGTGTGCACGTTTATTATGCCATTTCTGCTTTGACTGAATATTTTTATATTTAAGTTGACACTAGATCTTCTCGCGTTCTAACGGTGGAGGAATTGGAGGCGGACTTAGGCACCTGTAACAATCCCACAGATATGCCTTGTTCACCTCATCTTCTGTCCAGTGATAGTTTCCAGCCTTGTTCTACCCTTGATAGATCTGGTCCTATCTTGGCTCATCCCACCGTTGATTCTTTTCTGAATCCATCTTTTCGAATCCATCCGGCTTCTGCTGGCCCAGGATCTGCGCTTTCTACTGGTATCGGTACCAGTTCTCAATTTCCTATACGATCTTCAAATGCATCCGCTATACTCAGACATCCAGTCGGCCTTCCTCCTGGGCTGCAGAGCCTTCTTAAGCAAGCTCATTCCTCCATGACAGGACCTGCAGCTTGTCCCGGGGCCCAGACTCATCTGACTAACCAGCTACTAGCGGATGTCGCAGTCGTTGCAAACACCCAGAAACCGATAGGACCGTCGACCAGCTCCAGCCAGCAACAAGCTGCTGCGACAGTACTTCGAATTAATAGTCAGTTGCAACAATCGCTAAATATGATGATGATGCTTCGTGGACCTATGTCAGGCATTACCCAAGCTTCGGTAAGTAACATTTATTATAACTACCTAACAATGCGCTTATCGTTAATCCAATTTCATTATTCAATTTGTGATTCTATAAACACATTTAACGCTATTTCCTTTTAGTTAAACCAAGTAACTTCATACTTTGTAGTGTCCCAGAGTTAAGGTATAATGAGCCTATCATATATTGTAACTATTATTTTATATTTGGGATAAAATTTTTATCGCATCACTCGCAAATGTCCTTTGTTAGATACTCCTAACTATTTATTTCGCTCTCTTTCTTAGTAATGGCTTTGCCTTCTACTGTTGGTGTCTTTTCATGGTCATCGTTGCTTAGATCCCTTTAGGATCCTAACGCTTCTAGGCTGAATTCTATTTTAATGCCAAATTCACTTATTGATAGAGATATAAAGCACGTGCCCATACACTAATCCTAATCTTCATAAGGCAAACATTTAACGCTTTTTTTCTAATTGCTCACTGAGCCAGATGCAAACTTATGAATATTATATTAGATTGGCAATAATGTTCATGTAAAATATCGAAATTTTTACTATTGTTCTCTAAGTATTCTTTGTGGACAAAAATGCTATTTCATTTTTAACGATGAAGGGGATTCGTGTGTTGGTCCTATTTGATTCTGATATGGGACTACCTACTTGCATTTATAAATATATACGAATAGGTCCTCGGCGCACTGCCCCGCTTCCCCGATCAATACATGCTGAATTTTCGGGTTTAATATAACAGACATCGCCAGATTTAATGTATTTTACAAAAAAATTCACTAAACATTAATACAAGGTAGTTGACAATCATATCTTATCATAGCTTGGCTGTCAACTTACTGGCAATTCTCATGGTTTGGTCAGCTATTCTGTTTCTCCTATATGCTCCTATATATTCTCATATATAGCTCGGCAAGTCTCCCTCCTTGGCACCTAAACACAAAATCATGTATTCGAAGGTATGAATAAAGGGACAAGAAAGGCTGGATTACTCCACTAGGGTCCTGATATTACCAGACTGTTAGCGCTCTTCCAGGTGAATTAACGAGAAATGTAAAGACAAAATAACACTACCCGGTAAGGCAATCCCTTCATGAATTTCTAGACCCTCAGTCAAAATTGAGAGGCTACATGATTTTGTTTCGCATGATTTTGTTTCGCATGATTTGTTTTCGCAACTTGGTCACATTGGTAGGAAGACTTAGAGGAACACATCTAGTCCGGAGTCCACTGTATGCATGATCATTTCCAAAGTCGGACCGTGGACGTGGTACTTTCCAAGACGTTTCTCCGGCATCGTCCTTTTGGCACGTACCACGTCCACGGTCCGACTTTGGAAATGATCATGCATACAGTGGACTCCGGACTAGGTGCGTTCCTCTAAGTCTTCTTACCAATGTGAGCAAGTTGTGAAAACAACTTCTATACAAAATCCTGTAGCTTCTCGATTTTGACTGAGGATCTAGAAATTCATGAAGGGATTGCA